GAAATGGGGAACTCTGACTTAGCCAATTTTAAGAAGTTAGTTTATAACAACAACCAACCTCCATAACTGGTAGACTGCAAAGCTGCAAGATAAAGTGGACTATGAAGGAGTAAATTCATTATAAACCCATATTAGCAACATTTTAAAGAAAGAAAGAAAAATACTGGCTAAAATACTGCTTTTTATTTTAGCTTATTTATATTTTGAGTCTGGCAAAAAATATGAAAAATCTCTTGTAAGGGACAGATGCTACACTGACACAGAGCCAAGGGAAAAGCTTTACAGTAGAAATTGTTCATTGACTCTGAGTGCAAGTGTGGAAAAGCAGAAAGAATTAGATAACGTTAATTTAAGAAACATAGCAAGGCAAGGCACAGGATCAGTGTATAAACAGCTTTAACTGTGTATATTGGTTTCAGTGGCTCTGAGAACAAATAGAAGATTACTGAGATAAAATTAACTGTAACAAATGCAAGGAAATGTATGAAGCGGTTGGAAAAGTTTTTTTTTTATAGTAGAGGAGTTAAATCTAGTTAATTGTGTTTGGGTTTTGTTTTTTGTAATTACTCCTATTGTTCCACTGAACTGCTGCTGAATGTCTGACAAAGTTGAGCTGTCATGCCACAATTAAAAAAAATGAATAGAAGCTGAATACCAATGTGATTAGTGTTGTGTTACATGCTTTAATATATGTAGTGCTTATACGGGTTGAGAGCTGCTTCACACTTAGCTAATCCTTGATTTAAAACAACCACTCTGATAAGGTAATGTAGTCAATGGAAGCATTTGGCCATATGTGTCCGGGCTGAGCTCAGAGGTGGTGTGCAGGCAGTGGTGCCTCCTCCGAACTGCTCCTGTGCCCAGATTCTCTGTCATCAGCTGATGTTTTTTTCTGGCATCAGTCACACCACTTCACCTTTGAATTTCTGTGGGTGCTCTGCAGAGAGCTGGCTTTCTAGAGGGCACGGAGCAGAAGGCTAGGCAGATTGTGAAGTAATGCAGAGAAGGCCTTTTACTGGTTCTCATGTGTATGAGAATGATCAGTGTGAGGTTAGCAGTTGGACTGGAGAGGATCTTGAAGGTTTTCTCCAACTGAGATGATTCTGTGATTCTGTGAAGGTAACAAAAGTCATTCCATTCACTGCTGCATGTGGTAAGAAGGTCGTGAGTAAGTCATTGTAATGAGAAACTGAATTTAAGTCCTACTGTGACCCCATACACAGGTTATTGTCCAAGCTAGTAGCCTTTTATAGCACCATTAGCAGTAATTAAGGATTGATGATGTTGTATTAATGTCTGTTGTTCTGTACACGTGCAGTAGGTCTATAAATGTTGAACTGGGTGTATTGTAGAAGTGTAGAGTATCTGACTTACTGACAGACATACATGCATGATGTACATACAGCTAACTTTTGTGGATTATTACTTAATCAGATTTCTAAAATATAATTACATGGTGATCTCAAAACATATTAAATACATTAAAAATTAAAGACCAAGGGAAAAGGATATCCTGAAAATGCATGAACCTTCTCTGTATCTTCTGCATGGGCAGAAGATTTTCATTGTGTCTGGACTGGTGAAGCTGACACCATGTTTCAAACTGCGACCCCCTTACAAGAAGCTCTCCCAACTCTTCCCTTTCACTCTGGGGCTGTCTTGGTCTCCCTTGCTTTGAGATAAAGATGGCTAAATTCCTGATGTTCATTGTGGCTCGGTTAGGTTCATCTGAAAATACTAACACTGGGCAACAGATAAAGAGGAGCCACTGGCTATTTTTAGATCAGAGTATTGCGTCTAGATCCTGTGCTTAAATTGGACAGGTACTTCCTCATCCTTTTTTTCCTTCCAGCATATTTCATGCTCTGTGTGTCCGAGTACAGGTGTTTAGCTAGCATAGCTGTTGAGACTGAAAGCTATCAGGAGGAACACTGCCTGGATTTGTGTGAATGAAGTCAGCCATCTTATAGTGTTTGTTATTACTGAAAAGATTAATATAGCTAGCAATGTCACATCTGAAGTAGCTTAATTTTTAGCCTGTATTGTACATCAAACTCCTTTCTAAGACCTTTTAGGAAGCTGATGGTCTGATTCAGTAGGACTGTGGCTTGAGGAGTAGTGGATGCTGCAGAAGTCTGAAAGGCAGTGGCTGGCTTGTATGGTGGAAAAATGCACAGTGCTACTCTGTACTGTGCTCAGTCCTTGCTGCAGCCAGTGTTGTCAATCACTTTCCTTTCATGACGTAACAATCTGGCACCTGTTGAACTCAAAGGAAAACAAAGTCAAAGAACTGCAACATTTTCTTTCAATTTATTTGACAATGGTATGTTAGGTAACATTCTTTATGAGTAAAAACAATTGAGTACGAAGCTTTTCCTTTAAGCTAAGCATCTTCTTTACCATTCATGGACTTTTTATACAATTTCTTGTATAGGGTTTGCATATGATGCATTGTCTAGTTTGGAAAAGAATACTTATCAGGTATGGCGATTTTTATAGACTGAAAATGAATATTTAAGACTCAAGGGAAGCAATTCACAACTTTGGGGAAGTGGGGAGATAGTAGAAACTTCCTTTAAAATAGTTTTGAGCTCTTTTCTCATTTAAAGTACCACTAAAAGAAATTATCTCAACATTTCCTAGGGTATTCCATCACAAGTTGACTTGCCTGTCTAGTATTTGCCCAAATGTCTTCCTAGTTAGATAAAAGATGCACATGAATGCATGATTTGTCTGATTTGTCTGAATGATGACAATTTGTAGACAACAATTTGCCACATTCACAGCTTTCCTTTGTAGCTAAATTGGAAGTTCAGTGTTGCTCCTTATACTTTCTAAATTTGTTAGGTTACTTTACCTTCATGGGGTAGAAAATCTGGATCTTGTCCGCCATGTCAACCTGTTCAGAAACTTAACTTGGATGGATATTTAGAAGAATATATACAAAAAATTGAATTATTTCTTAAATGTGCAGCCTCAGGATGTTAATCTACTACCAGCACTATAACCCCAAGCTTCAGAGCCTGGGTGTCATTATCCCAAAAACTTGTAGCAGTGTACAGGTAACAGCAATACTTCAGAAACATGTATTCTTTACTCTTTGCCACCTGTGGGTTTTGCAGGTAGCCTTGACAGAAGCAGTATGTATCCAGTGCATGTTGCATTACAAGATGTGGCTATTTGAGAATGACCATGTTTGAGTTTGGTGTTTTTTTAAGATTTCCTCTTCTGTGCTCAGATTGATGTGTGGTGCGTGCCATGATGTTAAAAAAAATATTCCTACTCAAAGTAAATGATTCTGTGCACTTTATTCTGTGCACACATATAGCAAGTGTAAAACACAGAAGCCAGGAAAATGACCTCTTTTTCAAGAAAGCATGTAAAGGACCCTCTTCAGAGTAGTTGCACAAGGTATATGATTTAAGTAAAATATAGTCGTTATCCAAATACAGTGAATAAAGATAAGAGTTCTCCACAATTTATCTACCAAATGTGTGTCTATTAACAGAGTGACTCTAATACCACAGTTGTCAGTATTAAGTCTGTCAACATATTTTGTGCAAAATCTCTGTAGTGAGCCATTCATTGTGTTGAAAAGCTGATACAATGGAATGCTTTTTGTGCTGGCTCTGGAGAAATTACAGTACATTTTATCAGTTCCAAGGTCGGAGTGTAATCATGGCTCTTGAACTGTAGTGTAGTAAAGTGGGCTATATTGAATGTTTGAGGAACAGCTATAAGATTGCTTGGTTACAGCAGCTAGGTATCTCCAGCAGCAAAATTCTTTGTGTGAACCATTTCTCTTGTCTATAGTTCTCATTTTTGCTGTAATCTGATTTCAGAATTGACTTTCACTGCAATATAGGTGGAGTTGTCGAGCTCAGACATATTTTCAAGATACACAGTAGCAGCTGTTAATATGTCCATGTAGGACTGCTTTAATTGCTTATTTCAGCTCCAAGTGCTAGTTTAAGCATAAGCCAAAGGGTGCTGTTATTAAACACCTGTTGCTGCTATACAGTTTCTTTCCCTATGATTCTTGCAGACCAATTCTTTTTTCTAAAATTGGAAGACAAACCCTTTCACACAAAACCCGTACTAGGTTTGCATGAACTTAATACTTCCATTTCCTTCTCCAACTTCTCTAGTCTAACCTTTCCTCCCTTTTCAAAAAAAAAAACCCAAATGATGAAACATTATTTTTATGCCCTGCATGCCTTCACTGGTGTGAGAATATTCATTTTCCTGTGAATAGATATAATCACATTATTTTGCCATCTTGGCCCTTCTTAAATGCAGAACAGGTATTTTACATAAGTTAAGATCAGATTTTTTTTTTTAATCAAAAACAATGGTACTCTCCAGAATCCTCTTCTTTTCTCATAGCATATATCTCTAAAGCTCCTGATATTTCCATTTGTGACTAAAGAAGCTTCCTTACCTGTTTGCTCTTCCTCTTCTCCCTTTTATATAGCAGTTCAGCAGCATTGCTTTTTGATTAGCAGTGTGTGTCATTTTAATAACATCTCTCTGCCCTCAAATTTTACCTTTCATTTTTCAGTTTACTCTCTTGAGTTCATGACCACCTGCAGCCAGCTCATTGATTCACTTGATTGACTTTTGCTCTTTAGGAGCAGGTGAAGAAATATGGGCGGCTTTCTCCTGTCTGCCCCAGTGCACCAACACACATAAGCATCAAAGAACCTTGAGTTTCTGTAGAGTAAAAAGGTGGCAAAAAAGCAAATGGTGGTGTCTCTTTGTAAGAGTAGCTTAGTGTGTATTTAGGTGATACAGTATGTATTATTGACTTACTGTCTTAGCTGACTTATAAAACCTGCTTTATTATTAAGTAGTTGTGGATAACTTTGAAATGAGTACTGCTTTGCAATTGCAGTAGCCCTATTTTTAGCATTGTTCTTTTAACTCTTTAGGAGCACTGGCATAGTTTAACCTTATCTAGAGAAATAAGCTGTTAAAATATTTTTTCCTTTCCTTTTCAGGGAGTAATATGTGGGAGGCTGTGGACTATTTGCTTCCGACATAGGAACAGCACTGGGTTGGGAATCTGCACTTCAGAGAGAATGCTGGGAATCTGCAGAGGGCGACGGAAATTCCTGGCTGCCTCTCTGACCGTCCTTTTTGTCCCAGCCATTACATGGATTTATCTGTTTGCTGGGAGTTTTGAAGGTAGGAGGGGAATAACGGCTGGGGATGGGTTAGAGTACTGAATGATCTGTTATCAGGGCAGACAAATGCAGATCAGTCATCACTGATTATATTTAAATAAATCTGGTTTGGCCTGCATAGGAAATAGTTCTCAAGGTGCAGATTTCAAGCTAGGGTCTTCCGTGCCATGTTTTCACTGCTGAGAAGGAGGTAATTGCTGGCCCCGGGTATTTGATTTTCCTCTGATCTTTGTACTTTCAAAAAGTGCAACAACCCCCCCACCCCCACCCCCCACCTTACTTATCTCCGTGTTTTCTAGTTTTTAAAAGTTGTAAGATTTTACTTTTAATTAAAATTAACATCTCATTTGAGATCTGCCCTTAATATTATTTAAAAGTGTTTTAAAATGCATCCATATATATTCTGGACACTCTTTGCACAACTCCTGTTTTTATGGACCTGTGTACTAGACCTTGTATGTATGGATGACATGGGGCACTAAGTCAGATTTTGGGACACAAAGCAGTGTCTAGCTGTGAGAGCATGGAGGTCCTACAATGCAAGTCACAGAAGCATGTCTGGCATGGTTCTTTGCACAGCAGGCACTGCTAGGTCATGGTCACTCAGCTGCAGGCTTTCTCTTGTCTGGTAGTCCAGTGTGCTGCTGCTCAATTGACTGGGGAACACGTGGTGGTACCTAGTTTGTGGAATGTCAGACAGTGGTGGGATGCTGCTCTATGAGGTGTAAATGAAGCAGCAAAGAATTATGTGAAATGTTTTAGGGCTCCTGTTTTAGTTATGTAAATACCTACAAGGCCAAAACATGCATGAGGCTCCTCTCTTGCCTTTGTGTGAAGATTATTAATTCTGGATGCTGCCTCTATGCTTATTCTGCTAGAAGGCTGAAGACAGAAAATCAATGAATACATATATATATATATATATATATATATATTCTCTTTATATAAAATCACTTTGAATTCATATCCTTCTGGGTGGCGGTGGGTTTCTATAGCTGGAATATATTTCTGTCCTCTTCTTTCTTCAGGTGGAGATGCTCAGGTTTATAGGTACATTGACTTCCAGCTATATACCTAGCAGTTTTTATAATCAGACTTGGAATAACCACTACTTTGTTTTTTAAATTTTTTATCTGATGAACTTTTTTTCTGGTGTTGAAGGAGTTCAGCAGTGATACATTAGTTAGGTAAGGTTAGAAAATGTTGTATCTCCTATTTTTGGTACTTTGTACCTTTTTTTTTTGAGATGGAACTTTTTATGTTTGGCAATAGGCGTTTTATTTTGGCAGGAGTATAAAAAGCTGTTTATCATTTCTAGTTATCTTAGCATCAGGGAAGGTGTTTCAGTCTTTTAAAAACAGTTCAGACACTAGTTTAGAGTCAGATAATTAAAAAAAGACATTGTTTAAAATGTCAAGCTTCTTTCATGTAACATTGACAAATTTGAGCTTTGTTTCAAAACAAAATCAGATTCCAAGTTAAATTACAAGTAAGAATGTATAAAGATTTTAAAGATTATTTTTTTTTTTTTGGTGTATCACATACATGTCTGAATTAGTTGTGTGCCAGGTACAAATATTTACTTATGCAAATTTATTTGGTTACTTAAAATTCTGCCTTAACGAGCAGTAACTGTAAGTTCATTCTAGAATGAACTCGTATGGGATTCATGTTAAATTGGAAATTATGAGGGGTGCTGGCTGCATACTTGAAAACTGTTGATGTGGCAGGCAGAACAAATGCAGGCCTCACCTTTTTGCTTTTAGAAGAATATTATGCTGCCTTGTTTGAATGACTATTTTGTGTCCAAAATTGATAATGGCATGCTCCTTTAAATTCTTGTGTGTGTAGAATCCTTTGTTTTTACAGTTTTATTTTTACTGTATTTGCAAAATACAAATCTTGAAATTTGCTGCTATATGGTATCTGGAAGTGATCTAAAGCTCTCAGTGTGAATTAATCTTAAATGCCAACCAGGGAGCAGAGCCCATTACCTATTAAGAAGCTTTGCACTAGAAAAGGACTGGAAATTATATAAAGTTAGTAACTCTTTCTGTTATTTTTTCTGTAACAGTTCACCTTTTCTTTTAATTTTTGGGTGAGGCATGATTTAATCTTTGTTGGTTAAAAACTAAGGTCAGTTTCAATATTTATTTAGACAAATAATAGCTAGTGTTTTTGTTAACTTGTAGGTATTATGAGCAGAGAGTTATAGCCATTTTGTTATTTTATCTGACTATTTGTTTTTTAGTCCTCTATGGTTCACGCAGTTTACTTATGTTTTAAGCTCTCTGTGTATACTTGCGGGACAATTTTTATGCAACAGGCTTGATTTGAATCCAGCAGGAGTGGAGGGTCCTCTCTGTTTTCTGGCACTAGTTTATTTGGTTAATTACAGGCAGTGATAGAAGTTTTCTTTTCAGTTCATCTGGTTTTAGATTCAAGTAAACAGTTCTTGTTATACTTTTCTCCACTAAATTAAAGAAATTGTCAGTACCTGATATCTTCAGTCTCACTTAATTATTTAGGGTGGAAGGGACCTCAGGAGTTCTCTGGTTAAACTCCTACTTGAATCAGGGTGGGCTTTGGGATCAGGCAAGATTTCTTAGGCCTTTATCCAGTTGTGTCTTAAACTTCCAAGGACAGAGACTAAATGGCCTCCCTGGGCAACTTGTGCCACTGCTTGACTGTCCTCAGGTGGAAGAGTTTTTTTCCTTATATCTAATTTGCTTCTTTCTGTATGTCTGCTGTCACTCATCTCCTCACCATGAAGTGAAGAGCCTAGTTCTCTCTTCTTGTAATTTACTTGTAGGTACTGGGAGGCTGCTGATAAGTCTTGTGGAGCTTTCTCTTCTCCAGGCTGAACAAGCCCAGGGCAAGCACTTCAGCCCCCATACAACCTGATAGCCCTATGCAGAACTTCATCAATGTCATTCTTGTGTTTGGGACCCCAAACTGGACACAGGGTTCGAGATGCTGTCTAAAGAGTACCAAGTAAAGGGGAATGGTCACTTCCCTCATTTGGTCACTACCCAACATTTGGTATGTTTCAGTTGAAACAGCCTGGGATGCAACTGGCTTTCATCACTGCCCAGACATGCTGCTGCCTCACGTTCTGGCCATCAGGACTACAAGTCCTTCCCAGTGGGACTAGTCCACAGCCTGTGCCATTATGAGAGGGTTAGTCCTTCCCACGTACAGGACTTTGCTTTGTTCATTTCTCCAGCCTGTCTAGGTCCCCCTGGGTGGCACCCTTACCTGTGAGTTTATTGACTGCAACGCCCAGGCTTGGTGTCATTTGCAGTCTTGGTATGGGTGAATTCTGAGTTCTCCTTGGAAAGGACTAGTCACAGAGTAGATACTGAGGAACCCCACATGTAACTGGCTTCCCAACAGAGCATGAATGAGTAACCATCACCCTCTGAACCCGATGTGCTGCTAGTTTATCACCCATATAGTAGTCTACCCATATAGACTGTAAAATCCCAACTTGGATACAAAGATGCTGTGGGAGACCATACTGAAAGCTGTGGTAAATTCAGCATCAAGTGGTCATCTTTCTTCACAGATCTAGTCATTTCATCATAGAAGGTGGTCAGGTTGGACAAAATGATTTGATGAATCCGTGCTAATTATTCCCCTGTCAGACCTGGATCTGTTTCCGTTTGAAGATACTTATATATAGTAGTCAAATCACCTCTCAGCCTTTTTTTCACTAAACTGTAAAGGTTGAGCTAGCTGAGTTGTCCTAGCAAAAAATGTCCTCTTCTTTGGTATTCTTTTGAATTTTTATTTGTTTGTATGTTTCAGGGCTCTAGAATATCTCTCTTAGATACTGATATCTGCAGTCATGTGTCCAAAAATTACATGTTCTTGGTGTAATTAGGAATTATATTACTCATCCATCTGTGTATATCTGAACTTAAGTTATTCATTTGCCATAGCATGGCAGTGGGATCACATTTGAAAACCCTTTATAAGCTCTTAGTAAATCTGTAATATAAAATTATTATATAAAAATATAAAATATAAAAAGCTTTTTAAATAGTTTGCAATTTTTTAGGACAGAATTTTTGTTTAATTTTGGATTTTTTCTCTTGTCAGAAAGTACTTTGCAGCCTGCTACTCACAGTTGTCATTCAGACACTGTCAGTAAGACCCTTCCCTTGGAATATTCATTGGAGGTAGCACTACCCAAGCTGTGAATACAACAGCTACTAAAAGTCTCATTAATCATATATTAATATCTATTAAGGTTATGAACTAGAATATTAAAGAGGATTTTGAATATTATGTAGCCTTTGAGCGCACCTGCTTACTGTAGTTGTTTTCAATAATGCACAAGGACAGCATCATTTCAGTTATCAATTACTTTGAATGAAAAAGCTAATTGTTCCAACATTCTTAAATTACATTCAAAAGGCAAGGTATTAGAGTAGGAAAGATGGAGTGCATTTAAAACAGGGAAGAGGAAATAATCAAATAATATATGGTGAATTTTCATTAGAAAGAAAATAGCAATTTCATTAACCATTAGTAAGCTCCAGAAATAGCATAATTTCCAAGCTATATGCAGCATTTTTCTATCCCTCCCATGTAAAATGGAGACTTGGAACTGTAATTTGACACATGCTCTCTAGATTACTGATTCCTTAAAAAAACGTCCACTCTGTCTGTGTGGCCTCAGCACATTCACAGTATCCTTTTAATTAAAAAACAGTTGAGTTAGCAGTTTCTGTGTGGTGTATCCACTTGAGGGTGAAAGCCCTGAACTGTCTATGTAGGGCTCTTGTGTAGAACATATTTCACAGGAAAGGAAAAGTCAGTAATGTAACGTTAAGATGAAAACTACAGAAATTGTGTGAGATCATGTAGGGAGTCTGTTAGAGAGCATGAAGTGGACTGTTTTTTAACTTCCAGGGTAACATTTTGAAAACAGAGCCTGTCTTCTTGCCTGGGACTTGCCTTTTTCAGTTGTCGTCTTTTTGCTCCAATGTTGGG